AAAAAAAAATGCGGTATTGTAAAGTTTATTAAGTGGGATGAAATCATTAAAGACTTGTCAGGCTACATTTGCAATGACGAGTTAGTTATTGGAGCTCACATCACCGTTACGGATATGGTTGGTGTGCGGTCAGTTCTTTACCATTTTTCGTGTATTCACGGTAACTTCTATTGGGTCGCGTTATACATTTTAGAGCCGCTTCTTCTTTCAACTTCTCCATTTTTACTTCTGTATTCTGTGATGGTGTTCTAACTGCCGGTGGGAAAGATTTTAATATCAGTAAAGGAGTTAGCAGCCTATTTATGCATTCTTCTTTTTATACTTCCTGTTAAATAACTAGGCGCACTCTTCGGTATTAGACGAGGATTTTAGCGCTATTAATTGTTTACATAATCGCGAAAACTTGAGGAGTTTTGAAAAAGTTTCTTAGTATTTCAGTTCATATGCCGTTCATCTTTTTTATTACTGCCCTTAAGACACGCTTTTTAGTGCCTCGCTTTACACTCACCATATTTCCGTGCTTTGTTTTCCCGAAAAGCAGGCAGCATTAGCAGGAGGAACATTGAAGATATAAATGCTGATGAATTAACTGAATTGTTGCATGTAATATATCCGTCACAAAAGCGTATAGATGGTAACCTTTGTTTGTCTTCACAAGTGGTGAAAAGTTTTAGTCAACTGAACGCTGCTCAACCGTGATAAAGCTTTTCAGTAATGTATCTATCTTAATGTGATACCACTATCCATTATCAAATGAAGTAGTTCTTCATTATGGCATAGTGTAGCAAGTGAACTAATAGCTGAGTCGACTCTCTGTGCTACATAAAACCTCTTTATAATTTTATGCTGGAGTAACGGCTAATGTTATTTTTAGGTGAAAACTATGAACGTCTTTTGAAACTTGCCTATAAACTTGAAGTTGCATACGTTATAAGTCAGTGTGAAGAATTTTTAATGCACACGAAAGGTATTTCTCAAGTAAAAAAGTTATTCTACGCTGAAAAATATAAACTTAGCAAGTTGCAAGTGAGTTTTACTGTTTTAGTTTTTTTTAATCAAATGCTTTTTTGGAAGTATTGTCTTTTAACTACACTTTTACGATGTTGTGTTTCATCTTTTTCGTTTGTCACTTGGCTCTTTAATTTTTTCAAGGACGAATGTTTGAAAGCGATTAAAGATACCAGTGCAATAAGGGATTTGAAGAGGGATAAAGATTTCGGACTTTTAGGTGATTCCTCGAGGTCTGCATTGTTTGATTTGTTTTGAAAAACAGAAATGTTTGCTTTCTTTGGTTCTTTTTTTGCTCTTGTTAACTGCTTCTCGATGATATTTAAATAGTCCTGCATGTATCACTTGTTGCTTTGTTGTTCAATTTATTTATTTCATCATGGGTTTTCACCGAATAAGTTACGCATTTAGCGAACAACTTATTGAGAAAATGAACAGATTTGAATATGAATGAATTTTGCTTATTAGTTTTCATTTTCTTGGAAATTTCCTGCCCGTAGTAATTTTTAGTTGGCGTATTTGAAGGTATCTACCAATTCATGTAATACTCCTTTGTACAAATTAAATTCTTTCTCACTTAACTGGTAAAGTACAGTGCATCATTCTAGGTCACTTTCAATAAAATGTTCATTAGATATCTTTAACGGTTCGTTTGATGATTGTTGATTATTGCTGTCAGTTATCTGGTAACCTAGTTTTTTCACAAAACGGCAGATTAGCGTCACTGCGATCGAAAAAAAAAAGGAACTGGGTCATTTTAAAAGTGCATTTGAAGCACTTTTGAAGGTGTTTGCTAATTGCGAAAAAAAAATTATTTTTTTTATGTTGGATGAAATAAAGGGAAGATGAAACTGCTGTAGATATTTTTACTGCTTCCATAATAGCTGAAATTTCACACTGGTTTGAGGGGCTTTCGGTGAGGGCATTCGTGAACCATGTCTTCCTCGTGTGTTTGGTGGAAATAGGCAAATAGATGAATTTAGAAGCAATCAATAGTTTGCAAAAGTGAAGTGAGAACTTTTTATGATTGTTAATATGTTGGGAAAATGACGTAACATTTTGTACAGTTGTGGACGAGAAAGAAAAATCGCCCTCCGATACAGTGCAAACAGGCGCTTTAAACGTTACTTAAAGGCTGTCTGTTGCTTGCTAGGGTTATTGGTAGATATGCAAGTTGAAACTGTTTTATCTCTTAAAGGTATATGTATTTTAAGTGGAAATCTGGCAGGCGTGACGCTTAAAGTGGTACGTCTGTAATTAGGTTATCCTTGCTTGTCGCCTATCGAAATGGTTTTCGGCTTGTAGTTTTTAAAAACAACTTTTTCATACTTTTGATATCGTGTACCTCTCAAATAAAAGTTTTTTAAGTGGTGTCATGAGATTCATTATTCTGTCGCAAATACACCTCTATGTCTTCCGATGTATTGGTCTTAAATTAAAGGAAAAAAAGAATTGTAGTGGGAAGCAATGACACTTTGGACAATTTAGTTACAGATAGCAAAGACACTGCAGCGTAGTTTCTCAGAATTGAAATTTCTTCTGAAGCATTTAAAGCGTGCGATAGAATCCACTCTACTAATTGAAAGATTTTTGTGGTTACATTAGCATAACTAGTAGACCTGTAGTAGGTTGAAACACACATTTTCCCATATAATTTTTTTATTTTTTATGTAAGCATGATAATTTTGTGCTGTAAGCTAGCAACAGTTGGTTATTTTCCGCACTATTAACAGTTGAGTAACCTTTTACTATTAAAGCTTATCAAGTAACCGTTGAAGACTTTACTACTGCTTACGCTTATGCATGGTAGATTTGCCATTAAAAATTAACAGTGGTTGGTGAAGGGTGTGAAGGGTGAAGGTTTGTTTTTTTTCACGTATTTTTGCGCACACAGTCTAAGCCCGAAATTCAAAATTAGCTTGGAAACTACAATGTTCAGATCAACTGTTGTTGTTTGCAAAGTACTGTGCAAGCCGGGCAGAAAGGTCAGTATGCTG